AAACATTATAAAGTATTTGACAGAGTTCTATATATTTCACTATAATTCTGATGGTATAAACAGACACTATAATTCCAATTTACTGAGCAAGATGCAAGCAAAGGTTAATAATAATTCAACTGAAGTCGTTTTAATGCACTCATTAAAAAGTATAAATTAAGATTAGAAAAAAAGATTGTCATACATAAATTTTGAAATTTCTTTAACTTATAAAAGCAATTGTTTATCTATTAATAAAGGAATTAACGTAAAATTGACAAATAATGCTTATAGTTCCATGTCTGGATATGTATTATTATCAAATAATACTGACTATCAGAAAGTATATTTATTATCAATATATATAGTATAAACAGTGATGGCATTTTGAAATCAAACTTAATGGGATCAAGATTTTGTATAAACCATTGCATATTATAGAATGTTTTTCTCAAACGAAGGAAATATAATAAATGACAAAACTGTATAATCTTAATTTATATAGCATTCAATTTCCAAATTCTATAGAACTAGTTGATTTCTACAGAAAATGTAATCATAATGCATTTATTTAAAAAGGAAAAACAAAACAATAATAATAAGGGTATTTAAAATACTGTAAGTATAAATTAGTTAAAATAACTAGAAAAAATTAATTATAAATAGAAGATATTTAATAAGTGTGTCTCTACATATTTATAACTGCAAATTAAATTTTGAAATAATTTCATAAAAATTTAATTTGTAGTGAATAACAATTAATTTTGTACTTTCTATTAAAACATGTTTTGATTAAATTTAATCGTGTTTTTCTTATTTTAATCTGAGTGTTTCACTTTGAATAAAAAATAATTCATTGAATATTACATCGTACATAATCAGTTATTTAAGATAGAAATTTTTGAAAATGATTACCCCCAAATAATGAAATAGAGTTGTTAATCTAGGTGATAATTAATACAACATTTAATTAAAACAAAAGATAATACTTGACATACTTTCAAATTTATATATTAAATAACTATGTTATATTAAAGTAAATTACATGAATATTCCTTAATTATAAATTATTTTCAAATTAAAATAAGCATTAAAGAATTTAAAATATTAATCCACGTATAAAAAATTATTTATAAACATAAATATAATTATAAATTTCATCGTATATATATTTTTTTATTTTCATAATTAACTTTTTACTGTAAAAATATTACAATCTGTCACTTTTTGGCAGTAAATAATAGTGCTATCCGATAACATTAAACTATTAGTTTGTTATTCACAAATTACTAATAAAATAATTAAAATTACTCATATAACTGCAATCATGGTGTATCTATATAGCATTTAAACATCTAAGGTGGTCAGCCATACCTGATACCTTAAAACTGTAAATATAATATAATAAATATAAATAAATGTTATAAATTACATTTAACTCATATTGAACAAGAGATTATCCATGACTACAGTAAGTAATACCAAAAAACAATTTATTTGTGAGATAATTATTATAATTACATAAATTTCTGAATTATATAATTATACACCATACTTCCTCAATTATTCTAAAATTTGTGAGCTAAATTGTATGAATATTTAACTCAATACACTATTTCAAAATTAAGACTCAAATAAAAAAATTACATACTTTATAAGGTAATACAACCTTTCACTGAGTAAACTCTCCATATAAATCATAACTTTCTAACTTATTTGAGAAATGATGATTTCTTTAACTATATGTAAAAATGATCAGATTAGATTAAATTTTTTTCAAGTTAATAAAAAATAAAACAAACAAAAACAACTCTGAACCTTAAAATGGGTTTTAAATAATCATAAAAATATCTTGGATGATATATTTTACTTACCTGGTTACAGACATATAGTAGCTAAAAATAAATAAACACAATATAAAAAATAAATAAAATAATGGAAACAACTAAAATAATTTTGAGGATGAATCCTTCTCTGAAATAATTTTGTATCTTGCACTGAACATGCTTAATAAATTATTTATGTAAGTTCAGTTTGTAACATTAAATTTGAAAAAGACTTACTAAAGGCTATGCACTTTTACTGTATATTTGATTAAATGTCATTTTTTTCATAAACTTCTTATTCACTCCTTCAATAAAAAACAATTTCCTAATTATCTAACAAAATAATGTCTAATAAAATGCTAAAAACTATTTGAAATTCCAAAAAAAATATATAAAAGGAAGACAACTGACAACAGCGTAATTTACTGAAATAAAAAATTATACTAACTCATTTTAATCAATATAGAGTACTGTTTTAATTTGTTTTAAAACATTTCTAAACATTCCACATTTCTTTTAAATTATGAATTTTAAGTTGTTTTATTCACAAGAGTTAACTTAAAGAAACAGAACTCGATTATTCAACAGTTCAGTAAAGAAAATAATAAATTGTAATCATGACGATCTACAAAGTATATTATTTATTAAACACGAATTGTTCACTGTTTGAAAAATTAAAATCTAGGATAACTACAATTAATTATCTATTGTTTTAGATGAAACTGTTATTTAAATTATAAATGATATATATACAAATATAGTCAAAATCATCACAGTATTATTTTATGACTCTAAACAATTCTACTAAAAATACACTCCTAATAGTTTCCACAAATCAATCTAATACCAACGCTGTATTTAATTTTAAGACTTGAATGTGTATTCCATTCCTAGGTTTGTATTACGTCAGACATCACCAATATTAATTCTTTCAACAAAAATTTTTAAATTTAAATGTATATTTCAATTATACCCAAATTTATGTTTCTTTTATCATTGAGTTATATTTTAAAAACTAAAAAGAAAAAAATAAACAAAACCTATAATAAATGTTTTAACTAAGCAATTTAAAATAAACAAATCCGGAAGACTCTTTGAAATTGTCATCAATTGTCATCAATTCATTAAATCAACATTTAATGATTAATATTTTTATTTTGGTTATTTAATAACTAAGAAAAGTTTAAATGATTCCCAATCCTGAAACATTTGTATATTTTCTTTCTTATTATACAAAATAAATACACTACAACCATTCTACAACATTCATAGAACCAAACATACATAGATTTTAAATATATATATATAAATGAATTAGGCCCAGGCAACCAGGGTATACGCCTGGAAGCGCCAACCTAGAGGGGCGCCCGCCACTTTTAGATAATTATAATTTAAATATATTATATTTTAATGTGAGTATATATATATATATATATATATATACACACAAAGATATTCTTCACAAATAACATACACAAAGTGGTTTCACAATCAATATAATGAGCAACAATTCCATAGTCCATTAATCCAGCGGTTTCCAAAGTTTTTGGCCCACGGGCCACATTGAGACCTCCACAAAGTCCCGTGGGCCACATTGAGTTATCTATAAAGTCCCGCGGCGATGGCTTGTGTTGAAAAAAATAATTCTTGTTAAATATATGACATTTCAGTTGTGAAATGAGCTTTTGAAGCAAAAAAATTGAGTAATAAATGTTGTAGGCATCTCATGTTTAAGTGATTTAATAAACTTATTATTTTTTAAAATTTGAGATGTATTCCAAGAAACTTCTGTGGGATGGATAGGAGGTGCTTGCGGGCCACAGTGAGATTGGATCCAGCCCGCCGGCCGTAGTTTGGAGACTCCTGATTTAAGCTAACAATTTCATAAAGTTTAAATTTATTAATCAGTGAGATATAATTATAAATGAACATAAACAATAGTATGTAGAAACACAACAAATATTCTTCTGTTATCCCACCTCTTAAAGAACTAAATTAAATTTAAATGTAATCATTAAATTACTGACGTATATAATCTTAAATTCAAATAAATGCATTACAAATATGCTGTAACCATTATTTATAGTCTGTTAAATTTTATTTTTAAAAACAGAAATCAATTCTAAGGAAATAAAAAATAACTATTTATTTCCCTAATTTTTTGGATCCACATCTACATATAACTTTTAGAAAAATAAAAATATCCAGTGTACTGGAAAGTAGGAGTCATTAGCACAATATCCCAAAATTAAAATGATATTATCAAATATTTTTGTTAATATTTTGGTTTAATCATCATTAACATAACATTCTAACATTAGTTCCTTTATGAATCTTTTTTGTTAGTGTCGATTCTATTCAGAAAAATAGTTGAATGACAGGCTCTACTTTTTTTCTTACATTTCTACTGAAAACTTGTGTTGCTCATCATATTTTCAAAAATTCTTGAATTTCCTACTAATTTACCTCATAAATAAAAATCATATCAAATGAAAGACCTGTAGTCTTTGACAAGTACAACTAATCAGAGCTAAAAACCAAAAGGACAATAGAGCAGTCTTTTCAAACACTATACAAATTTATTAAATATCTAAATAAAGGATTCTGATTATGAAATTTTATGTAACCATATTTAGAGTTAACTCTAAATGTTATACTTCCTTAAAAGTTAATATTTACATAGTAACTATAATTTTTTTTCTTACCTTGTGCTGGTTTCTGGAATACCTTAAAAAAATATACCGAGACTCGAGCACCGAACATCTATATAAACTTTGTTGCCCTTTCTCATCACATAACCACACAGAATTAAATCTGCCAACTCTAATACCAGCTAGAGGTCAAACTGCAAACATTCAAGATCTTAATTTGGGTTCATTTCTAAAAATTACTAAATTTCTATATTTACATAAACAGCAATAATTATCAGTTACATTACAAATTTGGCAAAATATAGGAGCAAAATCAGAAATAAGTGGAATTGCATCATGACTGGTTCAATTAGTTACATAATATATATGTTTCAACAATATCAAAATACTTAAATAAGAAATGTCAAATTATAATTATTTACAGACAAAACTATTGTTGCATTTTTACACAATATACAGTTTACATATATACAAATAAATGTATAAACACAGTAACTAATGTTTATTATCACCAAATTCTATAAAAACAGAATTTGGCTAATGATCAGCTATCTACATCATACTCCTCTGATTCCCGATGAACAAGAGCTTGAACAACTCTTGGTAGTTCACTGCTTCTTCGAAATGCTGCTCGCCTGTTTTGAGCAGCAAGTGGTTGACCACTGTCTGGTGATGGTTCTGTAACGGTAATACAAACACCATTCTCAGGAAGGTCTAGTGAACATTGTAATTTTGGGATTTCAGAAGAACATTCATTTGGAACAGCTCCCATGTCACTTCTGAAACACAATTAGTAATAAAGTTAATTTATAGATTTTAAATACATAATATAAAAAATATATTATGTAAATATATATTATAACATATACTATGAAAAAAAAATCAATAACACTCACATATACATACTTATATACTATTATGATATTTCTTATTCTGATGTAAATAGAATTATTTAATCATAAGAATGGAAATAAGAAGTGTAATCCTTCCATCCCCCATAGCACAGACTATGGTAGAAATAAGAAGCTACACCAAATAAACACAAGACTTAACTCAAAGCTTCATCCTCCCACTTATAACATATTATTTTGTATTATTTAAATAAATGTTAACTATATGTTGATATATTTTTGTTTTAACTATACAAGCAAAATGGCTAATTGTGTGCTTGGGGGTAATAGATGGGATAATTCAATGAAAAAATGAGGAAGTTCATTTATTTACTGCTCTACTCAGGTCAATAGATTTGTTACAAAAGCAATTCCTCTTTAATTACAATTAACTAAAAAACAACTCTTGTGTCACAATAACTTTCCGAGACATTTTATTATATTGCTTCACTAATAAATTATTTAAGGAAATAAAGTATAATTTTCAAGGGGTTTTCAAGGGGTGGTTTTCAAGGGAGGTTTTCAAGGGGTTTTCCTAACTTGCCAAAATATCTTCCTAAAGTTATAAACTCTACCTTCCAACCCTACTGTATGGTAGTGAGAGCTGGGTCCTTCTAGATAGGATTGTCATTGTTTAAACTATTTAAAGAGAACTATTGGGTAGACAAAAACAGCTGTTTTGTTTTTAAAAAAGTCAAGAATTATTTTGATTTTTTTCTAATCATCCTTCAATTATACTACATTTACTCCACTTTTATAAAAACTTCCTCCTTTAATAAGCTTGAAGTCCATATTAGACATAGTTAAGGTTATTATATAAGTTGAGATTTATTAGAAGCAATTTTAGATTCACCTCAAATTGTGTAAAGAAATGATATGATTTCTTATCCAGTAACCTTAAATACCAGTGCTACCTTAAAGTACCAGTATTTTCATCAAAAATTAATAACATTAACTGTTGCAAATCTTTTATTTCTAGTTATCTAATCAACTACGATTTGTGTATCAATGAATATGAAAAGATGTGTAACACCAAAAAATAGTTTTTAAAAATGTGACAAATATTTGATTTTTGACAAATGGTGCCACATCAAAAAAAGAAAGTGAAGATAAAGATTGCTCTGATGATGGGAAAATTGTCCCGAAACGTTAGAGACAACAAATATAATTAAAAGAATTTGTAGAAAATTGGAAGTATTATTGCCTTAAATATGAAAAAAATTATTTCTAGTTTTTCCATGACATGGAATATATTGTAAGAAACATAATTGGCTAAAATCACATTTTATTTATAAATATAAAATATTTAAAAATAATGATTTTTTAATCCCATATCTCCATCATACGAATTGATATGAATTTATCAGCGACAAATTTAATATTTCTTACTAAAAATTTATGTTTAAAATAAAGGAACCCACTCATTGCTTTAATTATTTTCATGAAAATGTTAATATTAGTGCTAGAAACATTAAGTTTCTGCTGGAAATTCAACAATTGTTCAAATGAACATTTTCGTAGATCTTGATGCCTTCTATCAACCTTTTAAATATTTCCATCTACTTATGGGACACCCTGTGTGTATATACACTGACAGGCAAAAAATTCCACCCATTTGTTACCCATTAAGGAACCACGTTGGAAAGGTTGGCTCTGGGAAAAATTACAGGCTGCATATCTTTCGAGTCTTCTTCTCCACACCCTTTCACGCCCGTCTGGAGATCGAAGAGCGAATCTTGACCCATCTGTCAAAAGTACAGCACTCCATTCTTCCGTAGTCCAATGGCTGTGTTCTTGAGCAAAAGCCAGCCGTGTTACTCTGTGAGTTGTGGTCAACTCTGGTCCTCTTACTGGACGAAAAGCCATTAATCCATACTCATTTAATCTTCTCCGAGCGGTACTTTCAGAAATTTGAACACCTCGAACTTCTTCGAGGTGATGAATCGCTTGAACAACGGTAAGGTGCCGGTTTCGTAAAATTCTCAAAGTCAAAAACCGGTCATCCTGTGGTTCTGTTACCCTAGGCTGCCCAGAACCGGGCCTTCTATTGTAAGAACCAGTTTCCCGAAAACTCCTGACTGCGTCTCGTAAAGTTTCATATGGATCTCCGTTAAGATTAGCTGCATATCTAATGGAATGTCCATCATCAATAAGTGCCACATCACGCGCAACACCCTCAGCACTAAGAGGCATTTTTAAACTTAATATTGAAAAAATTAAAAGAAATGTGCTGCAAGAAACGGCACTGAATGAACTAATGATACTGAATAAACATTTTGATTCCATAGAAAGTAAACATTGGCGTCTAGAATCATTTAATTGAATTAAGGATTAAGGGTTATTGTCCTCTATATTAACGTTCCTAATTGAAAACAAACAAAAAGATTACCTATTTATTCATTAAAAACAATAGACCAATCTAAAGCAGAAATATTTTTAGATGAAAACATGAAAAAATCAAGTGGGTGGAATTTTTTGTCTGTCAGTGTATATATTATAATCTGGTCAAAATTTAATCAAATATTTATGATCTGATAATGCAAAAAAAATAACATCAGATAAAGTTGTAACAGACTTTTATGTTCATGATGTTAATGTTAATAACTTAAATATTGAGTCTTATGGCATGCTGTGCTCTTGGTTGTGAATCCATGTAAAGTAATGAAGTGAATAAACTTATTATTTTAATTTGTAATGATTTAACTATAAAACATTTATATTTTTAATGATAAGATTAAATAATCAATTTGTAATTGTTATAGATAGTAAAGTTTTATTAAAATAACCTAGACATTGCTTCCTCATTTCCATTGGGTTGGGTTCCAGACAGCAGTAGTAATGGCAGGTTAAGCCATGTGGTTCCAAGATCTGAAAGGTCACTCGCATCACTAGCACGGGATGACTTCCTTGATGAAGCTCTTGAACCACGATGAACATGTAAAAAGGCTGAAAGTCTTCCCTGCCATCCACCTGGTGATGATGTTTGTGTAGTTCCATCTTCCCCATCTTGCAAAGATGCATTTTTTTTCTCACTAAATAAACAAATTTTCTTTAATAACAAAAACTAAAAGAAAGAAATCATTTAGGTATCTTAGATTTTGAGGCACTCCTCTTACTGTTATTTGTTTTAAATTCTCCACTTTTATTTTATATAAAATTAAATTAAAATAAAATTTGCCAAACCCAAGTCTGGATAAAGGAATAGGGTTATATGAAACATGGAAAGCAACCTAATAAAACCAATATAATAAGATGTTAAGCAATAGCAGTGGTTAATGATATCTCGGTTTGAATCTTATCAAATTTAGATGGTCCTGAACATCACCAACATAAGTCATGAAGAAGATATTCATTGTGGGGAAAAGACAACATATATTACAAAATTAAATGAGAAAAGAGTGTTGATACATGGAAAATAAGTAGCTTACCAATAAATAAAATATTTAAACCTCTGGAACAAGGTACAAAAAATTATCGAGTAGGTCATTTATTTTTGTAAGAGATTTGAAGAGCTGAAGTAGATAACCCCAAGATGTTCCACTAAGCAAATACAAATAACGCGCAGGTTTGGATGAATTTAATTAACTATTAATGGATAAATTATAATGAGTTAATACTAAAATACATGGTAGGAAAGTCCAAACAAACATATGCTTCTTGGGATTCAGAAATTGTTTTCCTCAAGGCAATAGTTTTCATACTATTAGACTCACTTCTATCTGTTTTTTGCAGTACATTTACTCCATTAATTCCCATAAGCCTATTAACAAAATACACTTTGATAATCTTTGGATAAGATTGAAAGATTTTTTTTTTTACAGACAGGAATTCCAGCTCATTATTTGGTTGCCTTGGTAAGCTCTTATTGAACAATTACAGTATTTTAAAACTTTCTTTATTGAATATTAATACATTCTCCCACATTGAAGGGCATTAATATTAAGGCTACATGATTCATTCACACAATATGTACATACAATTAATATAAATAATAAAGAAAAAGAAATATAAAAAAAATAAAATAAGTAAATTGGTATGCCTGTGTACAAAAAAAATTAATGAAATAATAGATAAAAGCTAGATGAAATTAAAGTAAATAAATCACATTCACACCTATGTACAATATTTACATTCACCCAGGGGACTCTGAGTCATGCCTTATTCCCCGATGTGGAAGCCAAGGCAGGACTCCAGGAGATCCCAGTGCTTCTCTCTCAGCCACGTCACTGTTATTTGAAACCAGTGGAAACTGATGGAGGGCACTATAGCAACAGAATTGAACAATAAACAACTCATACAGACATAGCTAAAAAATGTTCATTTAAACAGTTTAATTTTTCTAGATGCTTCAAGAGGAAAAAGAAAAATCCTTTACACAGAATAACAGAATGATAGGTGTTTTAACTTAACATCACCAAAATTAATAGTTCTGGATAATGACTCATAGTTATTTTTTTTTTTTATTTAATTTAACTATATTTATTAAGAGATATTACAATCTGTCACAAATAAGGACATTTATAATAGTGTTCAGAGAGCACATTCACGCTCTATCAACAATAAATAATACAGAAAAAAAAACAATAATACTAAAAGTAAATGTATATAAACTAAACCAAACAAAAATAAACTAAACTAATAAAAACAACAATTCACATACACACGCACTTCTATACAATATCTAAAAAAAATAAATAAATAAAAAATCATTCACCCAAGATCTCCGAGCCAAGCCTTTCTTCCCACTCGAGGGAGGAAAGGCAGGACTCTAGAAGATCCCAGCACCTGTAAATCAGCCGCATTACTGGTATTAAGGACCAGTAGAGGCTGATCAGATCTATAATCACACATACATGGCTTGAGTGGAGAATCTGGCCACTTCCAAAACTCCAATGTATACTTATTCACAAAAGGTCTCTGGGCCACTGCTGCTTCAACCTTAAGGTCTAAGACAAATGGGATATTAAGGTCATGGTATAGGGTTTTGTTGGTTACATAGAATGGAGTATCAACTATTGTTTGAAGGACTTTAGATTGAAAGGATTGAATGCGTTTGATGTTAGAAAATTTTGCTGTCCCCCACAGTTCTAATCCGTATGTCCACATAGGTTTCAGGATTGTCTTGTAGATAAGTAATTTGTTTTCAATTGAAAGTTTAGATTTTCTGTTGAGTAGTCTGTATAGTTGGCCGTATTGTTGGTTGAGTTCTTGTCTTTTGAGTCTAGTATGTGGGATTCATGTTAGTCTTTGGTGTAGGAGAAGTTATTTTTTAAGAAAAAAAAAAATATTTACTATCATAAAACATAAGGCTTTACTTGACAAAGTGCAAAAACTTTGTGATAGCTTACCTCATGTTAGACCTGATATTAGTGATAGGTTATTGATCAGTGATATATAATAAACATGACAAAATTAGTGTCGCATGAATTCAAAAAATCATACAACTATCAACTTAGTGTTTGGAGGCTAATGAAAAACTTAAAATTTTTGTGACAGATTTATCTGAATTCATGAAAAATAGTAGGGAACAAATTAAGAAAGTACAATCTTGATAGTCCAACATTTGTTAATCTGACAAGCTTGTGATGGTTAGAAAAGAATATTTTTACCGGCCATAGAGAGAAAAGTGGGAGGGAGGGTTTTTTTTGTTTTTCTAGGAACAATATGTTCATTTCTAGTTATAAAATTGTAGTATTTGTAAATTATGGTTATTATATTTTTTTAACAAGAAGTATTATTTAAAAAAAATAGTTTATCACTGTTTCAACTTTGATTCATTATTTTGCATTGTTCTAATGGAATCTTCACTTGTCCAGAATATTAAATTTCTGGATTGTCAAGATTGGACTTCAATCTACTTCAATCTTGCTCCTCACTTAATCATGATTATGTGTTGGTCTGGTCTAGTATTCCAATAAATTATATTACTTACATCCTGTAATTCCTATAAGCTCTTTGAATGACTCTAGCTGCACGATCTTGTCGCTTCCACATTCGAGTGGATGATACGATTTCCAATTCTTTCCGGGTTGGAAATTGTTTTTTAAATTTTATATCCATTTGATCTTGTAACTGAAAATAAGAAAGAAATATTGTTTTATTGACCTTAATACAATATTTTCAAAATAATTGGAGTATTTATAAATCACTGAAATTCAAGATAGACTAATCAATAATGAAATTTTAAAACTACAAACATTATAAAAATAATTCGCTTATTTCAACATAAAAGACATAAATTAAAACATGTATGAATCTTGAGGAGAAAAAAAAAAATAGGAACAGAAAAAGTAGTTAAATGTTAAGCTCTTGATACAATTAAAATTATGTAGGTGGAAATATATCCATACTTCCTCAAACTTTTTAGGAAACTATAGGTGGCATAATGTGGTTAGGATGCCACTTTTAACAAACTCAATGATGGCAAATGAGTAGAGAAGAGAATATCATCATATAGGGATGCCCATCCCCAAAGTTGATAGCACAAGAACCTACCCTCTCCCCTCTTCCCAAGATATTTTATTGTTCAACTTTTCTTAAAAACAGAACAAGCTAAGGTGGAATCAGAAAAGTCATAGATCATATACAATTAAACTTGCTGTGGTATATTTCATGTTTTTCCCTTTATCCCTTTGTCCAAAAATTTGCCATCAAAATTTGCCCCCTCTCACAAAAATTAAGATGGCGCAACTTACATCATCAAACCTCCTTCTGGGCACCTCTGTCATCATAGATAATCATATGGAATAATTAATGGAAAAAAAGACAATAGGATGAATCAACTATTAGGAAATATCTGTTATTGAAGGTGTATGTACATCCCACATCTAGCAATAACCTCCAAGTGAGTTCAAAAATATAGAGTACAATACTAGAACATTATATGATTTTTTAACTGAGCTCCCTTCAGCTACAACAAAAAACATTTAGGACTTTCTATTTTTTTTTAGGTGCCATGTTTATACATCTTTCCACCATCACTATATACCAGGAGTTGACATTTTTATGGAACTTTTTTAAAAGTTCTAATTTAACAGTTTCTGTGAAACCTTTTTATGAAAAAAGTTCTGAAAATAAAATGTTTATAAGTCCTAAGGGAGATGATTATTTATATAAGTTATATGAATAAAGTTTAGTAACAGTTTACTCTCCCCAAAACATTTTCTTTATTTTATGACATTTCGGGATCCACTTTATTATGCTATCTTCAGACTAGAAACAAGAAAAATTTGTGTTATTTATATTTATATTTTATAATGCATATATTTTTATAACTTATCGTATCAATAAGTGATTTGCCAATCTTACCGATTTCTCATCTTTCTATCATCAAATTTTTTAAAAAAGACGTCATAATTTTTATAATCATAAATTATCCCTAAAAATGCAATAAATTTTTCTGTATTGTTATTATTACATGTATGTAAGTATCATAGATTCTGCTATAAATGTATTCACCTTAATTGTATTGTGGACTCCTCTATGGAGAGCCTAGTCAGACACTGAACTAATTTATGTATTAAGGGTCAAATTCCAAGTGGTTTTGTAATTTCATATATTTAATTTGTTAGTTATGTAATCATAATGGGGCCCTATTTTAGCTGCATCTGTTTTACAATTTATTGCTTTATTAATATGTTTTGTGATGAATATAGAATCTATTATTTCTCTGTGTGTACTATTTGATACTTTCTGTAATATTTTAGCTTGTGTTTAATTAAATGTATGTCTATTTACAGTACTATGGTGAGCTAGAGCTGTTTTATAGCCCAATTTTTTTAATCTGTAAAATGCTGGTTCATTCTTTTTTCAATATTTTGTCCAGATTCACCTAAGTATACCGATTCACAATTATTGCATTCAACCTTATAAACAACATCTTTTTGCTTTAACCTATTTATTTTGTCTTTCATATAACTTAGATGGTTATAACTTTTGTTTTGATTATATGACCCAGTATTTATCTCACAATCTTTTTCACTAAATATTTTTTTAATTGTATTAGTTAAATTAGGAATATAATTTAATCTATAATATTTTTTTATCTGTTTTCCAGATTTATTATCAATTTTGTTTTGATTATTGTTTGTTGCAGTGTTTTTTTTTTCAATTACTATTGTATTGTTAGAAGTAAAAAAATCTTTTATGGATTTTTGGCTTGTTTTTATTTTGTTTTGGATTTTATTATGGAATACAGGTTTCAAGTTAAGGTTGGTTGCTATATTAACAGAAGATTTTGGTGTATTTTCTATTTGTTTATTAACTTGAAACCACATTTTACTAATGATTGGTTTAGGGGACATATTTTCAATCAAAATATTGTAAATTTTTTGTTTTATTTTTTATATGAATTTATCCTCTTTAATTTTACATGCTCTACCAATGAGATTTTTGCTGTGTTTATTATCTGGTATTTTGGATGTTGGCTATGGAAATTTAGTAGTATATTGCTTGTTTTATTTTATTTTATTTATTTTTGGTCCATTTTGTGTTGAAAGAGTTATCATTATTTTTAATTATCATTAAATCCAAACATTTTAACTTGTCATCATTAGTCATGTAACTTGTAGTCTGTAGTCATGTAACTTGTCAAAGGCCAAAATTTCAGATATTATGAATTATACTTTGATTATCTTTGTCACTTACTAATTGTTGCTACTTACTTTTTTAAATTCCTCTGTCTCTTCAACATGGCCTAGTACATGTTTGACCAAAGCATGAAGAATATCTAAACAATGAATCTTATTTCCTCGAGCAATAGGAAGGTTGAAACTAACTAAAGCAACTGTATTAGGTTTGGGTATTCCAAGCGGCGGATCCAAACTGGCTATAAATTCTGAGAGCTGGCTAAACCGAATGAATTGTGTGGCATGGGGATCAAATCTATAATAAAATAATCGTTTCTAATTAATTACAAGATTTTAGGAGTTATTAGTATTCAAAATTGTTTAACATTCTTGCTTACTTTGACCATCTTATGTAGAACATTTCTAAATCATCTTCAACAATTCCAATTTCTTCTTCTTGGTGTGCTTGGTTAAAATTTTCCAAAATAATTGCAATATACATATTAATAACAATCATGTAACTTATAATAATAAAACTTGTAAAATATGTAATGGCAAGTAATGGATGACCACAGTTTCCATTGGGTTGGTTATTAAAGTATAAATCACAGTCAGGAGGTTGTACCATAAGAGATTCTAATACATCATTCCAACCTGCAGATGTCATTAGTCTAAAAAATTTGAAGAGATAAAATAGTTTTAACAATGTAAAGTAAGGAAGAATTAATAGTTTAAAAATACACACATATAATTATGGACAATATTTGTTCTTTAAATGAGATTAAAAGACAAACATAAAAAAATTAATTATAATTGAAAAGAAAATATGGTTAATAAGGAAATTAGTTCTTGTACAATAAATACAGGTTTTAATATACAAAATTTGTCTCTCAGTGAAACCGTGGTGGATGGGGGATCCCTCTTAGGAGGGATGGTCTGAATATACTGAATAAAGACCCGTGGACCAACAGATACCCAATGCTGGTGGGTATAGCCCGGCCACCCTTCCTCTTGAGGGGATATAAATATTCAGGAGGCCAGTTGTCCCAAGGATACGGGGCCTTCAGCACTGGGCTAATCACTTGTCTGGAGAACAACAATTCAAAGCAATTAAACTAGTCTCAGATGAGGACTATCTTCAAGGAAACGACCTGGTATGATCATTTAGAGGACTGGGAGCCGATATCTCCAATAATGATTGTAGCAGATTTTAAGATGACCATAGATAAGATCTCCATAATCCAGGTATATGCACCAAAGGAAGATGCTAGTGTTGCAAACGAAGAGGCATTCTACTCGGATTTGTAAAAAATAGTGGGTAAAAATAAAGGAAAAGGAAGACCAGTAATTCTGAGTGGAGACTTCAATTCCAGAACAGGAAATGATGAAAGATATGGATATGGAGTTCTATGGCTGCATGAAGGTGAGAATGTGAGGAATAGTAATGGACAGCTGCTAATAGACTTTTGTGTACATAATGACTTCCTCATAGAAAATTATTTCTACCCACATAAGAGAATCCACAAAATCACTTTCTCATGCATGGAACGAAATAGTGTAATGGACTATTTCATATACGATAGGAACAAAACACAGTATCTCACTGATATGAAAGTAGTAAGAGGAATGAAGATAAACAGCGACCACCTTTTACTTGTGGCTGATACAAAGATCATTCCTGAGTATAAAAGGAGAATAAAAGCATTTGAAACCCTCAACGTAAGGGCCTTGGATAACTCATAGAAAAGGGCCCTCTTTACAGAGAGCCTGGAAAATAAATTAAGAGAAACGTCATTCGATGGAGATGTGGGAGAGATATGGAAGGCACTGAAAACATGTATTCTGGAAACATCAAATACAGTTTGTGGGAAGAAGAGAGTGTCTGGTAAGGGAAAGCGGTCAGAATGGTGGACCAATGACGACTGGTTTCTTGGAAGAAGCTTGCCTGGAAAGCATACCTTAAAGATAGAACTGAAGGAAAACTAAACGTTTGTTGAATAGCCAGGAATGAATGTAAGGTAGCCATATGCCAGGCCAAGAAGAAGTCGTGGGAGGATTTTGGTAAAAGGCTGAGCGAGGACTATCGCGAATCTATAAGATCATTTTGGCAAAAAGTTAAAATGTAAAGAGTAAAGCAATGCAAGCCCATTAGAAATGTAGAGATGGAATCGTACTTACAGACAAGGAAAAGATCCTTGGCAGATGGAAGCAATATTTCCAGGAACAATTCTCCAAAAACCCAGAAACAGACCATTGCCAAGAACAAGAGCCCAATATTCAAGAAAGTTTGGAGGTTATAGAGGAAGAAGAAATAGAAATTGCAATTCATAAGCTAAAAGAGATAAAGCATCAGCAAGGGATGGAATTACACCAGAGTATTTGAAATATAGTGGTCAAGAACTTCTTAAAGCACTTCAATCACTGTTCCAAGAAGTACATGACAGAAAGAAAATTCCCAGGGACTGGGAATATTGTATAATCCTCTCGATTTATAAAAAAGGATGCACGACAGACTGCAAAAATTATAGATATTTTCGTTTGCTACATTTTGCTACGAAAATAGATACATTCGTTTAATTTCAGTAGTTTATAAACTATACACGTCTATTCTAGAAAGGAGATTTTGCCGGATTGTGAAAGGGCTGGTTTTCATTCAGGCCAACAGACGCAGGATTACATCTTTGTTCTCAGAAATATTGCTGAAAAAGCTTGAGACAGAGATAAAAATCTGTATCTTGCATTTCTTGATCTGAAGGCAGCGTTTGATATGGTCCCAAGGAAAGAAATTTGGAATGCCCTAATAGCCAAGGGTGTACCTGAAGACTTGCTGGAGGCCATAAAGTCAGTCTGCCAAGGAGCCATGGCAGTGGTAAAAATAATTAGTATGGAATCAGAACCTTTTCCAATTGTGAGAGGAGTTAGACAGGGAGATAGCTTAAGTCCCCTTCTATTTATAAATGTAATGGATGAAATCCACAAAATCTGCAAGCTCCAAACTTGCTTGGACAACAATTGGGAAATGGAATATGGGAACTGTCCTCGTACAAAGCTTTTTATATGCGGATGACATAGTCCTAATAGTCGACACCAAGACCAAACTACAACAAGCTCTGGTAGAATGGGAAGAAGAGTTGCTCAGAAAAGGGATGCATATTAACACCTCCAAGAGTAAAGTGCTGGTTATGGTGAGTGAAGATGTACAACTGATCTGCAGCAGCAAAAAGCTTGAGGTAGTGAGTGAATATACCTACTTAGGGACCGTAATTAGTAGCTCGGGTAAGATAGATGCCAAAATATCAAACAGAATATGTAAGGCGAATCAAGTGTATTACCAGACTACTAATAGCATCATCGGCCACCGCGAAGTAGACAAGAAGGCCAAAATGCATGTATATAAGTCTGTTTACATACCTACACTCACCTACGGAGGAGAAAGCTGGACAATGCTGGACCAGCGCTCTAGTCGCCTAACAGCACCAGAAATGAGGTTCCTTTGCAGATCCGTTGGGAAAACTAGAAGGGATCGCATTAGGAAAGAAATCATTAGAGAGCAACTAGGAGCACGGGCGGATCTACGGGGGGGGGAGGGGGCTTTCGGGCTGAAGCTCCCCCCAAAATGGTAAAACATAACCATGTTTTATGGAAAAAAAAAATTTAAAAATACCTCTTAAAGTATTATTGTTCGGTTAATTACATTTAAAAGAACTTAAGGAATCACTTAAACACCATTTCATATAGGTATTTAGTTTCTTTCTGTTTTTCCAAAGTAATTATCACAATTTTTATGAAAAAAAAAGCTTCCGGGCTAAAGCCTCCCCCCAAAATTAAATCCTGGATCCGCTAGTGACTAGGAGTTACCAAATTTAAAACCACTCTAGAAAGACGACAACTCCAGTAGTTTGGACATGTCTGCCGCACGATTGAGAACATTAATCCTATAAAGATATTATAGGCTTGACCCACAGGAAGGAGACCACGTGGACTCCTCAGAATTAAATACCAAGAGTATATCCAAAGAATTGGAAGTAAAATAGGCAAAACCCTGAATGACATGACTAATAACTAATGGCATAAGAGGAAGACAAAGAAGAAGAATATAAAAAAATTGTCAATATATTATATGTTTAGACTTTGACAAAATGACCAAGAACAGAGGAATCTGCAAAACATTGTTAAGGAGCTGAACTCAAATATTTCTCATAATTAAATTCTATGTATTTATTCCATTTTGTTTTCCTTAAGAAATTTATAAAATTGTTTCTTTTAATAGTTCACTTAAGTATTGGAATAGTAAACAGTTTATTTTAGAGGTAGATATTATATATACCAACCAATTAACCATTTAAAGTTCATTCTAAGCATTACCTCAAATAAAAATGAAAAAACACGCACAGATACAAACACCTTAGTACAAAGAGGTGGTTGAGTTGGTGAAGGCATATGCAAATCACTCATGCCCTGCAACCTGATAATCCACAGTTTATATGATAAAATGATAAGTTCACGTCTCAGTGCCTGGAGAGCTTTTAACTCGGGTATTAATCCCCCACCCCCTCAGCTGGCCCAGGAAAAACCTTGTATAGCCGAAAAGGCATGAAAGTGGTAGAAAAACAAAACCTCAGTATTTATAGGGAGAAAATGGTCTACAAAACCAAAAATTAAATGAAATGAAAATACCTTTATTATTCTGGGACTAGTGTCCCTTTAGAAAAAATTATAAATGCAGAATATAAATAAACATGCTGGTGTATCTATGACTTAAATTGAATATTTACAAAATAATTGGTAATATGAAGTAAAAATTTATAATCACATGTTTATATAAACGTTTTTATTTATAAACACATCATATGCTGATGACGTGGTAATATCATCAAGATATAAAGTCGCACTATCAGGATCTTTACAGGAATTTGAAGATGCTGGAAAAAATTGGATCTTAAAATAAACAAAGAAAAATCCAATATATGATATACTCAAAAAGTGAGAGACAGGAGGGACAAGATAGCATGCAATTGCTCCACTACACTTTTAAGAAAGCTGGCAGTTTGAAATATCTTGAAGCCTTAGTGATGTACAAAAATGACATCACTATAGAAATTAAAGCAAGAATCACAGTAGGCAACATATGTCTTTTTGCACTACGGAAAACATTGCGTTTTTAAAATCTTTCATGGAGGGCAAAGCTACTGGTTTATAAGACTATCTTGAGACCAATTGTCACTTACGCAAGTGAAACATGGGACCTGACACAGGAATGCGAGAAGATCCTCCTGATCTGGGAAAGGAAGGTCCTTCGGCAAATTTTTGGGCCGATACGTATAAATGGCCAATGGAAAATAAGAAATAACAGAGAACTCCAAGAACTGCATAAACAACAAGACATAGTCACTTACATTAAATCAACCTATATAAGATGGCTTGGGCACGTAGAAAAGGATGGGTATAGATCGATACCCAAAAAGACTATTATATGGCAAACAAGAAGGCAAAAGAAGGAGAGGAAGGACAAAACTTAGATGGATTGAT